TTGGGGCAATTAAATAAATTTCTATATAAGTTAGGTTGAGATATCTTTTATTTTGGGTGAGTTTCATGAGTTGTATTTGAGCTGCTTAATGAGTCAGAATGGATTATAAAATATAATGGGTTAACTTGGGCTCAGCCCAAATTGACCCATGAACTAAAATATTGGAGAAAAGACAGGACTACCTATAAAAGTGAAACTATTTACCCTCCCCTACCCATTAAAAAAATTCTACCCACTAAATAATTACAACTCCTACCCATTTAATAAATAAACGACAATAACAAAATAACTACCCACGCTTTTAATGCCCTACGTATAAAAACGCAGAAGCTGCTCAAAATTTCAGAAAATTAGCGCACAAACGTGGAAAAACACAGAAGCTCTTCAAAATTTCAGAAAATTAGCACACAAAATTGAGATTTCCACTGATCGAAGAGCAGTAAGTGTGAAAAAACAGATCGAAGATGCTGATTCAGATTTTAATTTTATTGTTCTCTTCAGATTTTGATTTTGCTGTTGGTTTGATTTTGATTTCGGAGCTAAACTTCTGAATTTTAGCTGAAAATTCTAATCTAGGTTTGGAGATCTGGAGATCTAGAGGTTTGATTTCACTGTTATTTTGTTGAAATTTCGAACACTGTTGATTTCAAACACTGTTGAAATTTGCATTGTTGAGATTCAATTTTGGACATAAAAGTGATTATAACTTTAGAATCATGGAAAATATTTCAATTCTGCTGCAACATAGTGGAGAATGGGATGATAACAATAATTTCATAAATTTTCATGTTGATGCAATTCTAATAAAGACCTATTGGAAATTTGAACAACTTCTCAGAGAAATTGCAAAGCAACTGCAAAAGGACAGTAAAACAATAGTTATTCAGTATGCTATTGCTCAAGGATATCCACCAATTACAATTTGCAGCGATATAAGTGTTAGTGTTTATATGGAATTGAAAAAATCAAGTGCAGGGATGACAACACTTCCCCTTGTGTGTGTTGTTTGCTAAAAACACTATAGCTGCAAGCACCTCCAGTTTCGATGTTGCTCCAATTTCACTAGAAATTTCACAATTTGAAAGCACTGATATGATTACTACGTTTGATGTGCAAGAAGGAGATGACACCATTTTAGAACTTGATGATGCAAACATCATAACTGATTAATTTCATCAAAATGTTGAAAAAGGACGAATTTACGAAGACAAGAACCTGCTGGCTCTCGTTATGAAACAGTATGCTGTTAGAGAAAAATGTCAATATCGGGTTCATAAATCATGCCCAAGAAGGTTCGTCTGCATGTTTTCAAGTAAAAAAACTACGTGATACCTATATAGTATATAAGTATGCTAAATCAGTATATTATAAGAGTATGGAATTGTATTGGTTTGTCTGTGTTTTTTATCAGTGATACTGGCATAGTATATAAGTATGCTATATCAGTATACTATGCGAGTATATAACTGTATTGGTTTGTCTTTGTTATTATCAGTAAAACATAATACCAATATAGTATATATTTATGCTAAATCAGTATACTATGTGAGTATAGAATTGTGATGCTTTGTCTATATTTTTTATCAGCAAAATATGATACTGATACAGTATATAAGTATACCAACAAAGTATACCATGTGAGTATATAATTGTACGGATTTTTGTGTGTGTGTTTTTATCAATAAAACATTATACATAACTGTATTTGTATTATAAACAGGTATATCCTAGAATGCATGGATGAAAGATGCACTTAGAGACTTAAAGCATCAAGCCTGCGAGCATCAAATCTTTTCAAAGTGACAAATTTCAATTCTGTCCACAGTTGTTTAACTGATAAGAGATTTTGTTCACAAAAGCAAGCTGTCTCAGCTTTTGTTGCAGCTGTGGTACAAGATAAACTTGTTGACCCGAAAACCATATATACACCAACAGATATCCAGAGAGACATCCAAAAAGCATATGGTATGGACTTAAGCTACATGCAAGCATGGAGATCAAAAGAAAAAGCAATGCAATTATTGAGACGATCACCAAGTGAAATCATACAAGAAAATGCCAACATATCTTTATATGTTAGAGTACGCTAACCCAGGATCAGTGACACGACTACACACTGAAGGAGATGAGAGCTTCTTGTATGCATTCATAGCTATATATGCATCGATTAGAGGATGGGTCTATTGTAGGCCAACAGTTGTAGTTGATGGAAGTTTTTTAAAGTCAACATATAGAGGGACCATACTCACGGCTTCCACGCAAGACGCAGAGGGTAAGAATACAATCCAATTACATTCAGTTTAAGAAACAAAAAATATTTTCAAATATTTATGATACAAGTATACCAACAGAGTATATAGTTGTTTTGTTACACACCTGCACGTACCTATAACTATACTACTATATGAAATACTAAATTAATATTTTGTGTATAATCCAATTACATTCAGTTAAAGAAACAAAAAAAAAATATTTTCAAATATTATATGATACCAGTATGGTATACAAGTATACTAACAGAGTATATAGTTGTTTTGCTACACACCTGCACCTATCTATGACTATACTACTATATGAAATGCTAAATTAATATAGTGTGTTGTAATTGATATTTTATTCTTTGGGTTTACAGGACAAATTCTACCCCTCGCATATGCAATTGTTGATTCGGAAAATGATGCATCGTGGGAATGGTTCTTCGTGCAGTTGAGAGAAACCTATGGACAAAGAGAGGGAATGTGCATTGTATCAGACAGGCATGATGCTATATGGAAAGCAACTTCAATTGTCTATCCAGAAGTCCCTCATTGTGCATGTATGTTCCATCTGTGGAACAACATAAAGACAAACTTCAGGAAGAGCCAAAAACAAATCAAAGAAGTATATTTTGCTTTAGCAAGAGCATACACTGTTGAAGAATTCAACAGACATATGGCAGAATTAGAAGCTATTGATAGTAGAGTGAAAACATACCTGATGGATATTGGATATGATAAATGGTCCCGGGCGCATTCCAAGGCAAATAGAACCATGACCATGACATCAAATATTGCGGAATCAGTAAATGCAACAAACAAGCATGCAAGAGACCTCCCAGTTGTGAATTTGCTTGACTTTATGACAACATTGATTCAAAAATAGAATTACACCAATCGGAATGATGCAGTGGAATCATTTATGAAGATTGGTGCAAAGTATGAAAAAATATTGGCAGATAATACTATCTTATCACAGACGATGACGGTATGCATTTTCAAAATCATAAACACACTGCACGTACTGTATTTTTACTTTTTTACCTTAGTGATTTCACTAAACAACTGAATATTGTTATTTAAAAAATACTATTACTTCATATAGCTAATGACTTTTCTTAATTAAAATTATACTAGGTGTTGCCATCAACTGAATTCTTACATTTAGTAATTGATGGCCAAACAAGAAATGTGGTGCGCCTACATGAAAGAAACTGCAGTTGTGGGAGGTTTCAGCTAGACGATATTCCACGTCCACATGCAATGACAGTTATACAAAAATTCTATATGGATTCATACAAGTATTGCTCGGATTACTACAACATAGACTACTTGCTGAAAACATATGAGATACCAGTAAATCCATTGCCTGATGAAACAACGCGGCAAATTCCAGAACATGTCTCTTCGTAGGTGGTACTGCCACCAAAAGGAAAAATCAAACCAGGAAGACCTAAAAAGAAGAGAGGCATAGGAGGCTGGGAAGGAAATACAGTTACATGTGCACTATGCGGGAGAAAAGGACACAACCGGAGAACATGCCGAAATATTCCAAAGAGAGATTGATATAATGCTTCAATGTTTTTATACAACTCATATATTGTAGAATCATAGCATTTGAATAGCAAAAAATAAAATGCATTTCTTGCACTGGACATATATTTGGTATGATGATTCTTTGCGAAATTACTTTTTGGCAACAAATTTATATGGCTACTTGTATTTTCAATAAGAATCTGTTTATTTTCTATTTTAGTATATAAAAGTGGGATGCATTTACATCTAGTTGCTGCAGGAAAAAAGATGCTAAAATATATCTGTGATACCCAAGTGGTATATATGTATACCTTATTGGTATATCTATATACCTTATTAGTATCAAAATATGTGCAGAAATAGAAGTGGTGCACGCTTTGCAGCTCATGTCTGTATTGAACTATAACAAATTGGAAGCCATTTACATGCAGTTATTTGTGCATCATCAGGTACATTAATACAAGGTGATACCCAATGTTATATTTGTATACCTCGCTGGTATATAGTGGTATTGCACTAATATGGCTAAAACAAAATATGCGCAGAAATATAAATGGTGCACCAGATACAACGTGATACCTAAAATGCGCACACTTTGCAACTCATGTCAGTACTTATATCTAGTTGCTGCAGGAAAAAAGATGAGTCAAATACAACGTGATACTCAAAGNAGATGAGTCAAATACAACGTGATACCCAAAGGGTATATCATTATACCTGATTGGTATATAGTTCTACTACACTAATACACCATCTATGCTAAAACTACAAATGAACATTAAAGCTTAGACCGTCATCACATTCGAAAGTAGATAATTTAACATCTGTCACAACTACTTTGTATGTTGCTGGAAGTGTTCACTTCATCTGCCCCTAATTTTCACTTGCTGAATCCATTAAACCTTACCCTCTGGCAAAGGAATGGACCGAGGCATCCTAATAAACCAACAACTTTATGGAAGAAGCCTAAGAAAAGCCTAATAAAACAAGCTGAAATCAGATACAAAATCAGCAAATTTTCAACATCAAGAGACATAACTATACTGATAACCCCCATGTACTTGAAGAAATCTATTACCACATATTTTGAACCAGAATAATTAAATATGACAAAAGAAATATTAGCAACTGGAAATATTTTATAAAGGCACAAGTTTCCTACAGTCTTGAATCAGCAGAAGGTCATTTACTACTAATAATACCATACTTCACCAAAAACTATTAAAATCCTGCAAAGTTTTCATGATACGATTAACTAAAACCAAAAAGAGACCTATACTACTTCTTGCGTTTCTTTCCACGAGTCTTTTTAGGTGCTACTGGAGCCTCAGATTCACTTGATTCGCCATGCAACTGCTTGTTCCTCCCATAGTGCCACAACAGTATACCAAACCTAGCTCGAAGACCATCCACATCAAAATTGGCAACAGGGATTGGAAGATCTTCAATAATATACTCAGCAAAGCAAGCAACATATACTCCACAATCTCTGAAATAAAACAAATGAATAGACTATAAAAATCAATTAGAAGTGAAAATGTTAATATGAATGAGGAAAACAAAGAAAAAAAAAGTAACTATTCTTACGAATTTTGCTGTGTTGGCAGATTTGTAATCAGTTCAATCTCAAAAGGATCAGTCAACTTCTTTCCCATGTGCAGACCATTTTCTACTACAATGTCACTTCTTTGGTTATAAAATTCAATACTAACTAGAAATAGGGGGATCAACACAGCATAAGCCTCTGCCACTTTTTGAATAGCTTTTTTGTGCTTTCGACTACGTAGCGAGTCATATACGTAAAAACATCTCTTGTGGAATGACACACACCCCAATATCCAATGCCAAATTTCTGCCAAATTAATTGGAAAAATGACATGATCAACCTGGTGCCATGGAGTGTTGCAATGCATCCTAAATCCTTTCATGTACTCCATGATATCGTCTGATCTATCAATCAAATGATCTTGTTTCCCACCTTTTACAAATTCTGTGAAAACCCTTTGAATGATATTATTAAAAAGAGTATCTGTAGTTGTGACTTTGATTGGCATATTAATTCCATATTTCGCCTTCTTCCTAAGATAGTAGAATATAATATTCAAGTGCTGCAAAAAAGAGAGGAAGAAAACATGACTACCACTAACAATATGAATGAACTACTACAACAACAAAAATAAAAAGCAGTACACATACCGAACTAGAGAGCGGCCTGCCAGAATAGTTTAAGGTATGGAAAAACGTCTTATCATCAATCTGTTCAACTTCAAAGTCAAAACAAGGCTCTAGCTTTTGATCACCAGGTAAATACACTTCCCTATTTCGTATAAAAGAAGATATGGATAAGAAATATAACAACAAACATTAAGAAAAAATGAAAACAAAAGTACATGGAAACGAATACGCACTCTCCCAATTGCATATTTGCTTCAACAAAGTTTGAGAATGCAGTCGTAAGCTTAAAATCAACCGTCTCTGAAATGTCATTTACAAATGGAAATCTTCCTTTGATAACCTTCGAGGATCCCCCAACTGCACTAACACCAGATTGCCAGTCATTCCTATACGGTGACTGTTTTACAGCTGCGGGGCGCCTTTTCCGTGTTAAAACTGCAGGAGTAGTTTCAACATCTGTTTGTATCTGAACAATATTTCTTGATACCGACTGATCAGGTTTAGACTTATTTACAGCACGAGTTGTCAGATCATTTCCAGATTGATTTACATTACGTCTCCCTCCTTGTGTAATGGCAGCAATTAGATCAAGTTGAGAATCAGTATATTCAAAATCAGAATCCAAGTGAAGATCACCCCCGTGTCGACATGGAGCTTAAATTAGAAAATGCTAGTGAATAAATAAATATACAAAGTTAAGAAATTTAGAAAAAAAGAATGAAAAGTTATATATAGAAGACATTACCAGAAGGCAAATTCACATTACTTCCACCAACATCCACTTGACCAACACCATCAACCCGACATGCTAAACACATAAAAGCATTATCAGCATCACTACTTAAATAAAAAATAAAAAACTATCAAGAACCTATCATTTACATACTAACTACAGAATTAGTAACATCAACATCGTACCCTGTGGAGCAGTATTAGACTCAATAACAACATCTGCTCGTGTCTGTACAGGGATTCCTGATGGCAGCGGAGCAGGACCCGACTTTTTAACATCATGAGATGACTGCTTATATGTTGCTTGTTGTGTAATAGCGGTGATTTGATCAATTGCAGATGCAGATAGTTCAAAGTTAGAATCCAAGCCAAAATCATGCTCATTTACGAAGGTGGCTGAAAAAAGTTTTTTTAAAAAAAGGTTAGTCAATGCACAAATACATAGAGTTAAATAAATAAAAAAATAATCAAAAATTACATATACAACATTTTACCAGAACGCAAATCATCATCCTGTTGCTTGTGCTGAAAATGAGAAACTAACAATTTTAGTCTTATGTATATTACAAGAATACTATGTGCACTAAAAGTAAAGAATGGAATAGTATCCTATAAGCATATATTGCATCTTTGAACAATATACTATAGCATTATATTATATAAAAGATGAATACCGCTGAATTTCCCTCTGGTTTCACTGACTGCCTACCAATAGCTGCAAGCACCTCCTCAAACTTGTTCTCTACAAAAAGCTTCAAAGCTTGTAACTCCTTCATTACCTCAGCATTGGTAGGTTGGGAATCACCTCCAGTACTTTCAGGCATACTTTGTGTCTTTGGTAATTGAGTGCCAAAAACCTGAAAGCTATCGGGCTGGCTGGGTTGGCTGTCAGTGCACTCAACTTCAATTTCAAAGCTTAGACCACGCACATCAAATTGTTTCTTCTCATCATCAGTTGGGGTGATGTTCTTTAGCTGCAATTATTAAGCACACTAGTTAGAAATAGAAATGATAATAAAGTATGAAAGAAAAAAGATCCATATTACCATATGATACCAATATAGTATACATGTATACCAACAAAGTATATCACTGAACTGGGATATAGTATACATGATACCAATATAGTATACATGTATACCAACAGAGTATATCACTAAACTGGGATATTGCTACAACTGTGACTAAACTAGTGTACCAAAACATTAAGAGAGGCAATAAAACTATGAGAAAATTACCTGCTTGCGTTGCAAGCTACACATTTGCAAAGCAACTCGCTCATTCGGGATTTGACCCATGACTGCCCATTTCAAAATTCGTGGAAGTTTGTTGTTTCCAAGATGATCAGCAAAGTGACCATCCAAACTTGGGCAGCATTCATACAACCAAGTCTGTAAAGCCAACGGGAAGCCACCAAGTCTATAAAAAGAAGGCTTATCTTGAAACTTGTTGGAACACGAGTCAATTGTAGCTTTATAAACATCTATACCCCAGGGATAATTATTAAAATCACCAGACTCAACCAAGTCAATGTAAGACCGTGAAATAGCCTTTGTTTTGAGTTGAGAAAATAAGAAGTTGTTGACAAAATACAGAACTGCTATCTTCAACGCATCATCATCCGTTTCCCATTTCTTCTTCTTAAAACAGTCTGCTAGTTGGGCAAATGTCACGGATGCAGTCCCAAAATATTTTGAAATCAACCTATTCTCTGCTATGCTCTCTATACTTGTACCACCCTTACATTTCAACCCAGTAACAAGTGCAAATTCACCCAAGCCAAACCGCAACCTAGAATCATTCACTACAAACCGCATCTCATTTTTAACCTCATGATGTACTTCTCTCATAAGCAAATGGTGCATAACACGAATCTGCACAATCACTGGTGGCAGATCCAAAAAATAGCCAAAGCATGTTTTCTTAAACAGTCGAAGTTGCCGCTTTGATAAATTCGCTTTCAATTGATGAATAACATGGCAATTGGTATCCCAATCAACCTTTGGTTTATAATATAAGTCAATAGGCACAAGAAAATCCCAACACTGCAAAACATGTTCATATAAAATAATTTTAGAAATAGAATTCACTTAAAATGCAACTAAACCAACTAAAAATATCACAACTACCATACGATACCAACACGACATATAATTATACCAGCAGGGTATACAATTATACTGACTAATTTCCGGCAACTACAAATGACTATACTACTATTACATAACAGATAGGAATAAAGAGAAAAAGCAAAAAGGAATGCAGCTATAAAGTATTTTCAAGATATTGTACGATACTACTATTATTAAAGGAAAAACAAATAGCGAAGACAGCTAAAAAAAGATCCAGAAGCATATGATAGTATATAGCTATACTAACAGGGTAAATAGTTGTACGGGGTTGTTCCAACAACTGTCTATAACTATAAAAACTATCACATAACACACATACACTATGTCTATAGGCACAAAACTTCTATGGGAAACATCATGCGTGCCATTGCCACTGCAACAAAACACCAGTTACGCAACAATCGGATAAAGAACATAAATGCAATTTTTTAGAAGAACTATGTCAAATAGCATTGCCTCCCCCTTCCAGACTCAAGTACTATGTCAATCATGTAACTGAGTACCTGGCATCTTTTTTGTATACTACTTAGCACCAATTCAACAAATCATTTTCATTAGAAAATAAGTCAATCATGTCCTAACTTATTACTTAAGGTTAAGAGATTCTTCAGATGTTTCAAAAGGGACAATGGGTGTTATTCAGAAAACGCCCCATACATGATCACTCTACCCCGATGCCTGCCTATAATCAATGCCAGTGGTGGTCACCAGCCAAGGCCGTGGGGCTTCTGCACATTGACCCCATCCACACCATGCCACCTATAAAGAAAAGCTCATTCTGCACACATAACTTACACGGTCCCATTCCTTCCATACTTGCTTCTCCCCACCACTATCAACTGGCCTAAACACTAGATCACGTACAAAATCATCTAATGCAAAGCTGAAAATCAGAAATCACACAGAGCAGCTCTGGCTTCAATAAATTTGGTTGACAACAACAACTATTGATTGACAGCACTAGTGAATCAACGACCATTTTTTTAAACCTCAAGCAGAACATTAATTTAATCTGTCAATTTAATTCAAAAAATTAACACAACTGACTATAACTATGATATAATACAAAAGCATAATAAGAAATCAAAAAATAACAATGTACTATACATTAAAAATCGCAAAGATCATAATTGTAAGAAAATTACCTTCTTGGGTGCGACACCAATTTTTCTCTTCTTTAACTGAGAATCATCGCTACAATCAACATCTACCGGTTGAGTCTCTGTTTCAGGCACGGATTCACATCGGCTTCTNCATCGACTGACGCGACATTAATATTTTTGCCTTTTCCACCCTCTAATTCTACATTTTCAGTTGTATTTTCAACATGACTATTGCTAGGGTTACGACTAAGTGGAGACTGAAAATCAGAAAATAAGGAAAAACTAGGCCCAGACATGGCTGAGGCAACGGATTCAGCAGCTACTTCTTTTGAAAAATGATATTGTCCAAAGCGCCACCATCTACGCGCACAACTCTTCCGACCCATAGAGAAAACAACAACCCATAGACATTGATTCACAAAAGTATAAAGGAAAACATAAAAATCCTATGATTTTGAAAACCCACTTTCACTAAAATGTACTTTCAGAAGCAAAAAATTCACCCAAAGCAAAAATGTCACCCAAAATTAGGTACTAGACGAAGAGATAGAACGGAATCGGAAGAAAAAAATTACAACTCAAATGTGTTTCACTTTTGCGTTCTCATCGGTTGGCTATGGAGTTATGGAAAGTGTACTCTGTTAACTGATAGAGAAAGAAGGAAAACTTGGGAATAATGGGCAGAATGGGCTGGATCGAAGATAAGGGAGAGATTGGTAGATTGGGCCGGGGCTGGGTAAATAGATTGGGCCGACTAGGTAGGCAGGGTAAATAGTTTGGGGATGGGTATTAAAAGGTAAATAGTTTGGGCCGACTAGGTAGGCATGGTAAATAGTTTGGGGATGGGTATTAAAAGGTAAATAGTTTGGGCCTAATAGGTATAAAGTGAGATTTTCCCTAAAATATTTGTAACCCAACCTATTAATCTTTGGGCAGATTAGACGGGTTAGATGAGTTTGGGCTCAAATTGCCACCCCGGCAATAGTAAATACTATACAGTAGTACTACTAAAAGACTCGCTACAACAACTATTTGGTGTCTGTTTCCTTAAAGCTCTATTTTCTGACTAGAGATCAACTTCAACAACTCTTTTATGGCTAAATGAGAAAACAAACATTAATCTCTCCATTACACTTTGCACGTCCACCGTCCACGTTAACCCTTTATTATCCCCTACTAATTTCATTTATTTGTAATTTTTCTTGTTAAAATTATTCTTGAACATTTTTTTTAACTTTGAATTTTTTTCCTAACGTACATTTAATTAAACAAACAGTAAACTATATGGTAAAAAATCTGGTTTTAAAATTTAAACTTGTTACAACTTACATGGGGCAACTATGTAAGCTTATATAGTACTTAGTAGTTTGTTCCATTCGTTTCGTTACCGGCAATCAACTGGTGAGTGGTGACCTTCCTAGATCTCAAAATTTTGTTATATATATATATAGTGGATATCATTTATTGTGATGGTATATAATAATTAATATGATGACTTTTAGAGTAAGATAGGGTTGCCTAAAAATAAGCAGGGTGTATAAGAATATTTCCATCTGGTGTGTTTCCTAATTAAACTCAGGCAAATGTGTGTCCATGCATGCCTTCTCCTCAAGAATTTGGGACCTAGAGAATTTTAATTTGTTGTACTGCAGAGAGGGAGAGATAAAAGACAGTTATATATAAACTCTAAACAGAAGTAAATTAGAAAAATTAGAAAAAACATACTAGTATAGTTTTTGACTTATAATAACCTGCCAAATTTCTAGGAAACTAGAAGTGCTTATTTGGAAAGAGGTATATGGTAAAGCTTTCGGAAGAAGCAAGTTCTTATGAATAGTAGTAAAAGCTAGTAATTTTTTTGCCGTTTGGAAGAAATTAAAAAGTAGTTTCCTTACAAGCAGAACCAAAAAGTTGTTTTTAATTTCTAGCCTATTTGGCCAAAAATTTTTATTTGCCAAAAGTGTTTTTTTTTTCCAAAAATATTTTTTCCAAAAGTTAGAGGTATTTGGCCAAAGTTTTTAAAAGGAAAAAAGTATTTTTGAGTAGAAGCAAAAAAAAAAAAGTAGTTTCTTCAAAAAACACTTTTGAGAAAAATACTTTTTAAAAGCTCGATCACACATTAATTACTGTTCAAAAGTGTTTTCCAAATTAATTAACCAGATGCAAACTACTTTTCACAAAATATACTTTTTTAAAAGCTTGGCAAACATGCTCTTTATTTGGCTCAAACGTACTTTTAAAAAAATTAGTCAAACACAAACTACTTATAATTAAAATAAACACAAATTGAACTGCTATTGTATAAGTGAAAGTACTTTTTTTAAAACTCCATTTGATGATAAGATAAAAAGTTCAACAGAAAGGTTCCAAACAACAACATGAGTTTCATGACTTTAAAGGTCACAAAAAGGATAATCAAGATCCGACAAACACAGTTATCATCCGCATGCAAAACAACAAACTAATTCTTCGGTAATTTAGAATCCATAATTATAGTTTTCTCCGAAGAATTACTTAAGGGATTCACTTTGCCGATCTTTTCCTTTTCTGATTTGATGACTTCTTAGCTCTTTTCTTCTTTTCCTTCTTAACTCCATAATCATTAATAGCTCTCATCATTAGTGCTCTGTAAGGTTTCTTCGGACTCACTTCTGATTTTTCTCCAGGTTTTGTTTCAGCTGATGCGGGCATTTTCCCTGCTTCAGTTCTCCTATAATAAAGTACCAAATTAACAACACAAAATAAAATTAAAAATGTTATAATTAAGCTTTAAAAAAATTAAAATTATAAATGTAAGTGCGTGCATTTACCTTGGTGGAGGAAAACCAATCATGTGCGGTTTTGCAGGCTCAGAGGCAATTGGCTTGCTAGTAATGTCTTCCGGTTCAGCTTCTTCGCTAAACTCGACGAATCGGAGAAATGACTGTCAATGTAAAATGTATATATTTTTAGCTATTTTGCTTCACCTTGTTTAATCAGGGTTAAATAAATTTATCTTACTACTATGGATAATCTTAGGAAAGAAAGAAAATAAATATCTGGAAAATAAAGTGATTTAGGTCTTCTTTCCCTCCTTTTGGTACGAAAGTCCTCCAATTGACGAATTTTTTAAAATATTTAAGTCAACCAAACATGAAAATATTTTCTTTGTACAAAACGGCAAACACACCAGTAAAACACATGTACAACTTTATATCCGCATGCAAATAGTTTGTAATATAGCTTATTACAGGATTAGAGCACATGCAATTGCAAGTAGAGTATAGTTGATAGTTACATTAATTAAACTTAAAGTGTATAGTAAAGAACTTATAATGCAGCATTAGCAGAAACATGGAAGATGTATGTAGGTGTCAAAAGATTGATCTGAAAAAGATAAAATATGGGGAAAGTTGAAGAATGTATAGATCTCCATAGAAATGCATATTCAAGTCTAAAAACTGCGGGAACAATTACATTTTCCAGAATGGAGTAAAAAAGTAGAAGTATGAAAATTTCAAAAAAAGATTATAAGCGAAATATACAAAGTCACATACAGTTTTTCTTCTTTTATTTGTAAAGCTTGTCACTTAAGAATGTTAAATGCATCTTAATTATTCTTAATTGGATATATTTATCTGCATTTTCATATACTCATTATTTAACAATACCCTCGGCCACTACTCTTGGTTATTTAGAAGTCAATTATGTAGGATTCTGACTAAATACACATTGTATATATAGGAAGAAAATTTGTGATCAACCTAGATGTGTGAATAAACTACTTCAGCCGTATAGAGAACTTGGAGAAAAACATATTCATCCAAATTACTTCCTATAGTAATTAATTTTTATCGGAGATGGCAGACCTACTTTCATAGTCTCTTGAATGAGGAGGGGGACAAGAGTATTGTCCTGGGTGATTTTGGCTCTCCGGGAGTCGTTGTGACTTTGGGTATTGTAGGCGGATTAGAGTTGATGAAGTTGAGGGGACTATGCGTTAGATGAGTAGGGGCAAAGCGGCCGGGCCGGATGAAATTCCGACGGAGTTTTGGAAGAGTGCAGGCAAGGCAGGCTTGGAGTGGCTCACTAGGTTATTTAGTGTCATTTTAGAACGAAGAAGATGATCGAAGAGTGGAGGTGAAGAACGATGGTTCTTGTATATAAGAACAAGGTTGATATCCAAAATTGCAATAACTATTGGAGTATCAAGCTGCTTAGCTATACTATGAAAGTCCGGGAGAGAGTGGTAGAGCTAAGGGTGAGGAAGAGTGTGTCAATTTCTGAGAACCAATTTGGGTTTATGCGGGGCGTTCGACTAGAGAAGCCATCTACCTTGCTAGGAGATTGAGGAGCAATACAGGGAGAGAAAGAAGGCTTCCATATGTATGGTGTTCATCGACTTGGAAAAGGCGTACGATAAAGTTCCGAGGGAGGTTTTGCGGAGGTGTTTGGAGGTTAGAGGTGTACCTGTTCCCTACGTTAGGTTGATTAAGGACATGTATGATGGATTAAATACACGAGTGATGATGGTGGATGGGGACTCAGACCATTTTCCAGTGATTGATGGGTTGCATCAGGGGTCAGCACTCAACCCTTTTTTGTTTGCTCTGATGATGGATTTACTGACGTGCCACATCCAAAGGGAGGTGTCATGGTTCATGCTATTTGCAGATGATATTGTATTGATTGACGAGACACGAGATGGTATGAACGCGCAATTAGAGGTATGGAGGCAGACTCTAGAATCTAAAAATTTCAAATTTAGCAGGACCAAGACAGAATACTTGGAGTGTAAGTTCAATGGCGAGAGTCATGGAGGGTAAGGGGAGGTGAGGCTGGACTCGCTGGTCATACCTTGGAGAGGGAGTTTTAAGTACCTTGGTTCTATTATTCAGGGGGATGGGGAGATTGATAAAGATATCACACATCGTATTGGGGCGGGATGGATGAAATAGAGACTCGTTTTCGGTGTTTTGTGCGACAAGAAGGTGCCACCGAAACTTAAGGTTAAGTTCTACAGAGTGGTAGTCAGACCAACAATATTGTATGGGGCAGAGTGTTGGCTAATCAAGATCGCTCATGTCCAGAAAATGAAGGTAGTAGAGATGAGGATGTTGAGATGGATGTGACGACAAACCAGATTAGATAGGATAAAAAATGAGGTTATTCGCAACAAGGTAGGTCTGTCCCCTATTGAGGACAAGATGCAGGAAGCGCGACTTAGGTCGCTTGGTTATGTGAGGAGGAGGAGCACAGACGCTCCGGTGAGGAGGTGTGAGAGGTTGACATTGGAGGGCCTACAGAGAGGTAGAGGTAGGCCAAAGAAGAGGTGATTAGGTAAGACATGACGCAACTTCAGCTGACCGAGGACATGACCCTTACCCTCGATAGGAAGGTATAGAGG